CCTGCCAAGTTCCACGTTCACCTTCACAAGTATACATTTTATGTAGCGCAACAATTAAACGACCCCGCGATCCGTTTACGTTGTTTCGAATATTAATTATTGTTATTTACGCACTATAATTCCGATAACGAAATATCGGCTACCGCTACGTCAATTTATCAGCGGCACGTCAATGTAGCAACTCCTGAGTTAGCAATTAGACGGACATTGTTCGAATTACCAGCGAACGTAGCGGAACGTCTTGTACACTGGGTGGTCGTTAATTTACCGCACGATTACCCACGATTACAGACAAATCTCAATTGCGCAAGCGCTCGAATAATTTACGCTGCCTAATATTTGTTCATATTTTAGTAACATTTCTTTTCATATTTCCCTTAATATTAAAATAATATTAATTTAATTTAATCTTGTTGCATATAAAAATAATATAAAAATACACAAGATATACAAAAGAATGTCCCGGCAAAAAAGGATCAACATGCGTAATTGCAAAAGCATTAACCGAAACTGAAACGTATCGCGGCGAAGATTGATGGAATAAACGAGAACTCATCTACTCTTGGGTATAAATATGTCGTCGCCGGATTACGTCGAATAACCGATTTCACGGATATCCCGGCCTAATCGCGGTAGTGTTCCGCGCGCGGTTCATGAATAAAATATGCGGGCGCCGGCCGCCGCCGCCGCCGCCGCCGCCGTTGCTTGCGAGAGAACACCGTGAGCCGGACGCCCTTCTAGGAGAGAGAGGACTATTAACTGATACATCATAAAGTGCCGTTTACGGCGTCGGCGCCGTTATTATTCATGAGCGAGTGTTACGGTAAAGACAAGACGTAACACTGCGCGCGGCCCGCCGTAATGAATCCCTCCCCCTCCCCGTAATGAGACAGATGTTTGCGCGCGTCGGAGCTTGCACCTCCTGGATGCGCCTGGGTTTAGTGGCTGCTGCAAAACCCTTTCGCTCGTCAAATCACCATAGCTGGGTGGCATTTCTAGGTAGGTTAAAATAGTTTAATCAATGATGGATGAAAGCAATAATGATAACGAAATCGTTGCAATGTGCCTTAACTTAATATTGTTCGCTGTAAATTTGTGAAAAAAATAAGCTATTAAAAAAATTGAAATTATTGAAAATTGCACAGCTACACTAAGTGGCGACCACGGCTTAAAATGTGCTACTTTGTAATTTTAGCATTCTCGCGAAAGCCGCGACGATTTATCAGATGCGAGGAACGAACTTTATACCGCGCGGCTGGATTTTAATTGAATTTATAAAGCGCACCGATTATTATGCCGGAATTATACATTGAGTAATTCGTTCGACGTAGAATAATTCACTCTCTGTAATTACATTCGAGATTCCTGACGCGCGTTTCGCGCTGTTCCAAGACACGTTATTAATTATTGTTTATAATGTTTAATTACAAGAATAATAGTGACATAGTTAATCCTTTCGTCTCTACTGTAGCCATAAACACGTATTTAAAATTATTAAATAAAATTGCCAACTGCTGTCGAGATCTCGTACAAAATTGTGATAGGTGTATTTATTAAATTTTAAGAAATGGGAATAATTTCTTGCATTTTACACACTTTGATTCGAAATAATGCATTTAACGAGCACATAAATATATAACACCTCGATCTTTTAACAACTTAACAACACGTCGATTTTCATGAGCTGTTTTTATCTGTTTTATTTCTTGATCTTAATTGGAACGCGCAATTTATTTCATTTATTTATTCTGTATACACTGAAGATGGCCTAATTAAAGGCTATTTGTAATGTATTATAATTTTAATTAATTGCGTATTGTAATACTTTGGATTTAGCAATAACAATCGGCTACAATTCGTTTGCTTCTTATATGAATTTTTGATACAATATTTAAAATAACAAGATTGCGCGCTTTTATCCACAATGTTATTTGCATTAAACTTATAAATTAACAATTACCGTCCTTTATGAAATTAAGTATATTTCATCCAACTTTCCTGTCACTACTTTTAATTAAAAATCGAAATAAGATATGATCGATCACATTATCAATCGCAATTATATCGTTTTAATCGCGTTTTAATATTTTAAAAACTGTTAAAAATACATAAAACATCGCAAAAAGCAATTACGTGCAATTCGCAGCGTGACAAGCAAATTTTCTCTTTCTTAAGTCCTCGTTATCTCGCGTATTAATTTCCGCAAACGATTTTGGCGTCGCGGTATTATGCCGATCCCCTTAGCTTCGAAAGTTATACGTGCGTGTGTATACGCGACGACGTTCATGAATGAAGGTTACGATGCAGTATTTCGCCGCGCGATGAATCACACGTAATGAAACATTGACGTCGCGCTCGCAGGTGTTTGCGCAAGGTGAGATTGCGCTTCGTGCCGCGCACGGGAGGAAGAGGCGATACACCGCTTCGATAATAACCGCGATATTATGACGGCGAGCCACCAGGCTACCATGTTTATCGGCGATCTGTCGCATTTGCATGCGGGAACGAGTGCGTACGGCCGCTTAAGCCGAATATACCCAGCGATCGGTACATATAATTTTATCGCAATCGCTGTGATCTCGCCAATTTGTATCCTGGGTAAAATATCCGCGTGCGAGAACACACCCCGTGTGTTCACGAATGCAAGCATGCGAGTGGGATTTAGATATAAACGTGCTGAATGCAATCTACATCTTTAACACTTGTCCGATCTGAACGCTATTATTAGCGGTTTCACGAACCGTCAATGTGAATGACTAAAGACTATCTTTAGTATTTATGCTAAATACTGTCTTTGAGGCTCGACCATACGAGAATGCACGTGATGTTAACCTAAGGCTGTTGCTATGAAGTGTTATTAATTTTTTATAATTTATTTTTAAATAGGTTTTGATGATTTTTGATACAATGTTTAACTTGTTAAACACCTGTGTGTAATAGCACAAGGATTCTGTGTGCGAGGTATTTAAGATTTATATCAGCACTCAATTAACATCTAAATAATACTTAATTATTATAAAATTTATTATACTTATTGCTGGTACAAGAACTGATTTGACTGGAACTTACACAATCTTCAACAAACATATTAAAATTATCTAAAACAGAAAAAAGTACGTTTTTATTTTCTACATTCCAACTTAAGTAATTTTGTTAGATTATCAATTATCGGAACACACAGATAAAACAACTTAAAGATTGCGATAAAAATGGAAGAAAAAAGAGGGAATTGTCACACATGCAAAGAAATATATTAAAATAAGTCGATTTGCTAAATAAAATTTTATTTATTGTGCTCTTTTGTAAAATGCGAAATATAATTGAGTTCCGTCAACCCCTTGTTGACCGATTCGACAAATGCCGGTTGCGGCAGGTCCTGTATCCAGGCCAACCGATGTTGCATCCCAACTGCATCTTACTTTTTCGCGTGAGGTGCCGAAAAGGCGTGCGAGTTGTTCGTGGTCGGGGGGCTATCGAACGGGGGCAGAGGAAGAGATCCCCGTCGTCCCTCTCGGCACGTGGCGGTGGCGTATTTCAATAATAGCAGGAATTAAAGCCGGGGCTTCCTTCCTTCGGCCACGTTCCGCTTTCTTTCCTTCCCGGACCTTTTACCCACCCTGCCCTGTCTCTCGTTCTCCTCCTAAAGGTCCTTTTTCGGCACATAATCGGGACCAACGCGTGCCCGCGTGAGCCTGTCCAGGTTTCAACCGCGACAACTTTTGCCTCACTTTCTTGCGGCCTGCGCACACTTCCATTTCTCTTTTCTTTCCCCTTTTCTTATTTATTTCCTTTTTATAAGAATCACTGACTTGTATAAAACTTCTACGGAATTTGCATAAAAATGTTCTCATTTCATGTTCAATTAAAAAATAACAATATCAGAGTATTAAAAACATAATAAAATTACTATATTTGAAATAGTCTTATATTTCATTTTATGTTTCAAATGAAATTGCCCTACCTTATCGCGTTGGAAAACATTTTTATTTTGATCGCGACAATAAATCATATTTTATGCCTATTTTATGTTCCTCCCAAAATTATCCCATCTTATCCTACCGCAAAAATAAATTATATTTTATTTCGTTTTATTATAGTTTATTTTGTTCTCTCTCAAATATTACTCTAATCTATAGCGAAACGAGTTTCGTTTGATTTGACCGTTTTCAAAAAGCCGCATACTTTCCTCCTTTCGGTAGGGACAAAAATACGAGCTTATTATTTTTCCGGGGATGATAAGCATCTAAAAGTTAACGACAATCTTTTATATTAAGCGTACATTTTTGTGTAAATCGTATTTCATAATAAAGAAAAATTCGAAAAAAATTATCTCGATGTTTTATGCAGGATACTTAGCACTCAGCTCCGTTTCCGCTATATTTGCATCCACAATTCGAAAGTGACTGTCTCAATGTTTTTCACATATCACAAAGTGTCGTCTCTATGTCTTTTTCATGTGAACAATATCGAATTTTATCATGCTTATAAAATTGATTTTAGGTTTTATTAACGAAAAGTTTTAGGTAACGATAATTTTCTAAATATTGTTTTTTTCTTTCTTGCTTTAAACTTTTTTTTTTGTTTGAACAATTTAAATATATAAAATATTCGAAGTTTATCTGAATTTAATATATATACATATATGCATGTCATGATAAGAGCATGTGCAATGTGCATAATCATGTAGAGCGTGAAAAAACAAAGAAGTTTGGTCTTTGTCGCAAGTCGCTACGTCAATTTTTCGCTGAGTTATAGCGTTTTGAAAATCCGGCAAGTATACATCTAAAAATAGACGCGGCACGCGGAATGCGTGGAATGCGGCAATACGCGAAAGAACTGTTTTTTATGCTACTGTCTAGACACCTGCTAGACGCAAGGGCATTGACCTATATATATAACAACGGCCGCGAGGTGGCTGTATCATCGGTCGATTTCGACTTATATCGCAATTACTCGGAATACGATCGAGGGGGTCGAGGGCGTTGTCAATCCTCCCGCGCGGTAATGGCGCGAAAAAGTTGTACGTAATAAGTGTCATGTGAAAGATAAGAGTCTAACACGTCTGATGAGATCAAAATCCTTTATCTCAAGTAATTAATTTGAAATATATTATCAATTGATTATAAAAACATAGTTAATCCTTTCGGTACTTAGTATAATGCGAACACTCTAATATCAACACGGTTTATTAGATTTGTAGGTTAGAATGACGCGTAAGTATGCGCTTTGCAATTGCAATAAACATTTTTCGGACAGCGTGTGCATGCATAACGTCCTATACGAACACTTTTTGGATTATATATCAACTCTCTATACCAAAGAGATTAATGAGATTATTATATTTTTTAGAAACTTGTAGAAATTTTTTCAAGAGGTAGTTTTTTTGATCGGTTGTTTGTCATTGGCATATTTACTTATTTGTTCTGTTTTAAAAAATGCTTTTGAGTAATCTTATGAGTATATTATATTAAGTTCTGTATTTAACTTTATATTTTATTGTAATTTAAGGAAGTACATTGTCCAAGAAACTTAGGTACTTGGGATTCAATCAATTTGCAAGTAAATGTCATCATCGGACCCATCACATTTCTTTGTCACCGTTACAACTTGATCTAACTGCATGCACTATCTGTCAGTGAGTGACTAGAGCTGTAAACAGAGCGAGCAGAAAACGAATGCACACAAGGGATACATTTCTTTGAGGTAAAAAAATATACATTATTCCTTAAATATACTGGATGTTGTTAAACTTATCGCTCTAAACTCTAAAACTATTTTAGAATGGCAAATTTGAAATAATGCTAAAATTGTTAAAAAAGTACAAATTTTATGGAATATTTAAACATAATACTGAATTAATATTTTAATATTTATGTTCACAGATGTCTATATGATCTGTTGTCACCTCGTCAACATTAGATGAAAACTTTTAGACATCAATTTATAATCAATAAAGTTCTCCAATCTATCTAGTTCCTTCAACTAAGAAATGACTGCAAAGGAGGATCTTTTCGTATTGTTTAAGGAACTACGAAACGATAAACTCTTATAACGCATTAATGTTTCAACACACTTGTTTGAGGTGATTATTCTTGGTATGTATTTAGAACTCAAGACATAACAAATTCAATTAATCTAAGCAAAATCTGTCGGAAACTGCATAGTATAATCAAATTATATAATTATTTGCTCGAGTAAAAAATAAGAAAAAATCTTGTTTTAAGGAAAAAGAAATTTAAGTATTTATTCATAGTTTAAGCGTATCCCATCTGTGTGAAATATTTGTGCTTTATTGTGCATACGAGAGATAATATTAATAACTAATTTCTAATAATCTTTAATTATTACAGTTTACATACTATCATTGGCATGATCAACTCAATCGATTTGCAAGGACATAAATGCCGTCATCGGATCCATCACATTATTTCCTTGTCACCGTTACAACTTGATTCAACTGCAGGCACTATCTGTCAGTGAGTGAACAGAGCTGTGAACAGAGCGAGCAGGAAATGAATACACGCAAGGGATACATCTCTTTAAGGTAAGAAAATATTGCACATTTCCACCGAATAAGAATATTCAATCGCATCTTATACAGAATTTTATAAAAATATCTTCAAATGGTATTATTGAAAGCACATATGTCTTCAACGATGACAATTTTTGCGAATGAATTGTGATGTTATGTTTTACAGAATAGTTGAGACTTTGATATTGAAAAGGATATAAATATCAAAAATTTTTATTCTAGATATTATTTTTATAAGCAAAAATAGTGTTTATTTACAAATTCTTGATAGAATTTATAATATCTAATATCAGGATTAAGAACATAAAAGTTCTTTGTTATTGCATACAAGAAAACAAATTTTTTTATTAATTAATTAAATTAGCAAATAATAGATAACTATTTTATCAGATAAATAATAACAAAATAAATCAATTTATTTTATTAAATAAAAAAAGTTATAAGTCTCAGCTGAAATCTTATTATGATATGATATCTATAAATTCGACTGATTTTAAAAAATACTTTAAAGGACATATACCTTTTCACATTCTAAATGCGAGAAGAATAGACACATTTTTCTTATTTTTCTATTCTTCTTCCGCATTGTATCGTCTGCCACTATAACTCGCTGCACGGATTGCAGCAGGTAGTCCTAGAGCATTCTGATTACGCCACGAAAATATTCTGGCGAAATTGCTACCCATCTACCCCGTTTCTCTCCCAGGTAGACGAAGGAATTTTATTGCAACAGGTTGCATCGTTGGTTCGATGGCCTATTGCATCCACCTGTGCGCATCGTGTCGCTTGTCGAAATGGTCGTAGTAAATAGTTCTTTCAGTGGCCTGACATTGTGGTCTTGTTTACTTACCAAGTTTCTTTCCTGAAGATGATGTGCAGGTCACTTTGTGGTAAATTATCGTCATTGCATAAAACATAGGAAAACATTCACTAAATACGGAAATATGATAGAAATGTGAGAAAAGGATCGCTTAACGCTTTAAGTGGTCGCGTAATTAAGTTTGAGAATGATTTATAAATAATAACAGAAAAAGTTAAGTAAGACAAAAAAAAGAATTTCAGATTCACAATAAAAACTCGACAAAGTTCGAAGACTGTTTTCTGGGCAAAATTCATGACTGAATTTAATTCGCATTACAGACTCTTACGAGTTTCTAAATCGTAAATTTACGTATCTTTTCGCGAAGGTTTTGCGGTGAAGTATTCTTTGCAGCGATACGATCATTATTATGGGATTTCTCACGGATAATTCTCAAGTGTATGCTCATCAAGACCCGGTAATAATTCTGGATTCGTAAGTTCGCCAACGACTATGCCATTCATATGTGTTGTGGACATACACGCGCATACACACACGGCCACGTGATAAGTACTAGCATCGCTAACTTCCCCCGGCGCGGAAGAAAAATTGAGCGGCCGCCTTCGAGCGTGTTCTTGGAATTGAATCAAACAAGTGTTACCACCCTCTTCGGGTATAATATATCTTCTAACATTCAGCGGCGGGACCGAGACGGATAGCTCCTGTGCCGGGATATACCTGATCCTACATAGAGATCCATGCGGCGTCTCGCGATTTCCTTTTTGCGCCGTGCCGTTGCACGTCTCCGAAATTAATGCCTATACTCCCCACGAAGTCGCCTGTGGTATGCCGAATTTTCATACCGTATTAACGCTTTTGTCGCAAGCAACGTGCGTATCCTGCCAGTTAACCTGCGCGTGATCCGCAAATCAGCGGAATTTACTTGGATATCTGAAAATATGCAAGTATTACCACGCATTTACGCAAATGCTGCAAATTGACGAGATAAAACAAGATTTGATAAAAATATTTACTCTCCGCGCTGCGACAGATAAGATTTTATCAAATACGTATAAATTACATTCACATTGCTAAATGTATGGAATGTTATTAAAATTTTGACAAGGGGTTCTTTTATGCAATGGCAATATTTGTTTTTAATGTCATGCAAATTAAATGATTATAGAAGTTTTTGATGAAAACAATTTTTGCATGTAATTTTTATAATTATTTAATTTACGCGTTACTAAAAAAGAGACATACCATCGCATATTATCATCACAAAAAATCTCTTGGTCGAAATTTTAGTAATATTCGACACATTCAGCAATGTGAGCGCAATTAGCGCGTACTTAATAAATATTCGTAGGCCACATATAAGGACATTTTCGTCTTTGTAAAAGTAAGTTATGGACACGGTAGATGTCTTATCTCGCGTCGGAATTTCTTCGAGAAGATCAATAAATCGATAACCGAAGAAGAGGAGTAACATCGACGGCGTAGAAGGAACACTGGAAGCGGAGGTAGGCGGAGGGATGCGCGGGTGTTCCTCTCGAGAGCTATAATAGCACGAAACATAATCCCCGAGTGAATCTAACGAGTCCTGGAGGAGCGAGCTGAATGCCGGGGGAAAAAAAGAACCGTAGAAAAAGAAGCTCCAGTGATTGGAGCGACGAGGAGAGGCGGTTTCTATTTTCGAATGTTGGAGAGAGAGAGGAACGGCGCGTCGTTGCGGGAGAGACAGGGATGACACGATGGTCGAGGAATCGAGACGGCAGCAGACAAGGGAAGAACGAGGAGGGAGAGAGAGGAGGGAAGAGAGCGTCGAATCAGGTTTGGCGCCTCTCCGATCATTCTTCAGTCTAGCGCAACGACTCACCGGCATTTTTTGCCGCCCCAACGAAGGAGACTAAAATTGCTCTAATGGTGAACCAAAGAGAAAAGCCCGCTCCGACGAGTACTTATCTTTTTCCCGACTTCGTGTATCTTTTAGCTCACTCGCCGCCGCACCGCCACTAATCGATGCCCAAAATGTGAATCCGTGTTAACGACATCGTCCTGCATTCTAAGGCGAAGAGATTCTCTTTTGTATACCTAACTTCCTAATGATATTACTATTGTTGAAAAATTTCGGAATAGGTGTGAAAATGAGTTTCTTCTTACGGCGAAGTGTTGCGTAAAACATTCGCGTGACGGCTATAAATTATATTTTTTTTAATTCAGTAGAGCGAGAAGGAAAAAATCTCACATCAAACTGAATTTCTTCCTTTGAATTAAGTTGGTTAGATTTCGAACCTGATTATAAATTTTATTATGATACAACGTGCATTCCTTTTATTCACGAACATTCTTAGCAGCGTGGCTATAAAAGATCGATCTTGGAACATTATATTTATTAATTCACTGCAAAAATCCACATCGTGCAATTTACGCATATATATTAGTCTACGGGGTCCACCGTCATTATCCCGAGCTTTTTTCACTCCCGTTT